TTCAAAGTCCAACAGTGGCTAAAAACTGTGTCCCAGCACAACGCCATCTAGTGAAAAAGCAGAGGCCAGTTTTGTCTACTGCAGACCCAAGCAACCATCATTCATGCCCTCAATAATCCCAAGTGTTAAGTTACTGCAGGGCACTGTCCTGTCCAGCAGGGAAGCTTCTGGGACCCCTTACTGTGGACTCCAATTCCCAGGGTGCAACTACTCTTAAAGGTACATTAAAGCTGGCTGGGGCAGCACAGGCACTATTCCCCAGGGTTGTCTTTGCTAACTGTTCAGAGGATTTAAGCTGCTGCAGAATAGGTGGGCCACAATTTGCCATTGGGGGGGTTGCTGCAGATCATAGGATCCCATTCTCATGCTGAAAACTAGTTCACTGTTGCACAACTCAAGGTTCTAGCTTCGTCCCAGCATGGCGTAAAGACAATCTCATCTATGTTCCCACTGACAAGCCAAGTGTGCTTTTTAGATTATGCACCTTATATGTGGCAAGTCTGAACCACGAAAGAACAAAAAGAGGCATTCTCACTGGCTGCTTCTCCAATCTTGGAACACACAAAGGACGAAAGTGAACACCATCTGAATATGTCACAATATATTTTTTATCTGGGCTGGCTTTTAGTGTTAAGCAGTTACAGTATCAAACTGTAATTCTACCATTCCAGTACCAAGTGCTAAGTATGTGGATATCAGGTAATATCTATGTATTCAAGCTGGCATAGTGCGTTAACAGAAAAAGCAAAACCCAACTAGTTTTCGCCAATACGAGACAACATAATCATACACTTTACAGGTTATTGGATACATGGGATTAAAATGCATCTGTTCTTCTCAACATAAACAGATATTAATTTCTCTGACATCATTATATTTTAATGGCAATCTCAAGGATTTCCCTAACGTCAAAAGCCATTTCACACTTTGTGGTTCTTTTGCTATATTTATACCAGAATATCATGAAGGGGGAACCAACAGCTTCAAAAACAGCCAGACATAGGCCAGGAAGCCATGCTTGCATGCTTCCAAGTGGCTGCGCCCATGTATTTGGAAATGTGTACCCCTCTTTCACAAACTCTATGGAATGTTGATTGCAGCAAACATGATCTGCTGCTACAAAGTTAACAAGAATATATAACTATGCATCAAAGTTAACATAAGAATATAAGAGAAGCCAGTGTTGGATCAGGCCAATGGCCCATCCAGTCCAACGCTCTGTCACACAGTGGCCAACAATACCAGGTGCCATCAGGAGGTCCAGCAGTGGGGCCAGGACACTAGAAGCCCTCCCACTGTTGCCTCCCCCCAGCACCAAGAAGACAGAGCATCACTTGCCCCAGAGCCCCTAGCTATACCTTGTGGCTAATAGCCACTGATGGCCCTCTGCTCCATATGTTTATCTAATTCCCTCTTGAAGCTGTCCATGCTTGTAGCTGCCACCACCTCCTGTGGCAGTGAATTCCATGTGTTAATCACTCTTTGGGTGAAGAAGTACTTCCTTTAATCTGTTCTAACCTGACTGCTCAGCAATTTCATTGAGTGCCCATGAGTTCTTGTACTGTGAGAAAGGGAGAAAAGTACTTCTTTATCTACCTGTTCTATCCCATGCATAATCTTGTAAACCGCGATCATGTCACCCCTCAGTGGTCATTTCTCCAAGGTAAAGAGCCCCAAGCGTTTTAACCTTTCTTCATAGGGAAAGTGTTCCAACCCTTTTATTATTTTAGTCAGGGCTTTTTTTGTAGAAAAAGCCCAGCAGGAACTCATTAGCATAATAGGCCACACCCAACAGCAGAAACTCATTTTCATATTAGGCCACACCCAACAGAGCAGCTCATTTGCATATTTGGCCACACCTCCATGCCTTCCCTTGACTTGCCCGGGCAAGCTGGCCCTTGGACAGGCCGGGGAATCCTTCCAGGGCCGTCCCTGGCTCGCCCACTTTGGAGTCACTGGGGGGGGGGGCACTCTCCAGGCCTTCCCTCTGTAGCCATGCATGCAGAGGTTTTGGCTGTAGTGGGTGTAGCGAACTCTGAAGCTAGACGGAACTCCGTTCCTGTGTGTTCCTGCACAAAAATAGCCCTGATTCTAGTTGCCCTTTTCTGTACTTTTTCCGGTGCTATAATATCCTTTTTGAGGTGTGGTGACTAGAATTGTACACAGTACTCCAAATGAGGTTGCACCATCAATTAATACAGGGGCTTTATGATACTGGCTGTTTTCAATTCTGTTTTATACCCATTCTTTCTTTCCTTCTACTTGTAGGTGCTACCCAAAGACATTTTGATGCCTGGGGCAGGAAATCTGAATGATTCTATAGAGTTCTACAATTTTCACCTTTAACTGTATTTCCAGAATCTGCTGCCTCATAAAAACTGCTGTACCTGCCTAATGACAGCCATTTTCCAAGCCTAGAAAATCATGTTGAACTATTTCACTGCAGGCTTATAGGAGACATGTGTGTGGGTGGGATGGCTTACCTTATTAATTGCCTTGAGTATCGAACAGAAAGGGCACTCAGGTTTTAATAAGAAATGCAATAAAAATTATCTCCCATTGGTTATTTCCTTTGTATCCTTTGACATTTAGGGTATGTATCCTTCAACCATATTGTGCATTTGATTGTTTGCCTACATACTCTCATTTATAAGTACATAAATAAGTAAAACTATAAACCTATTCCAAATAGTGTCTCCTAGAAGAAAAACATCTGGAAATAAAACATGTCCACCTCACCACGTTTGCATTTTCAATAAAAGCAAGCCATGCAAGGAGTGAAATTGATACATTCTAGTGTTTCTATATTTTCTTTACCAAAGTTTCATCCATGTGCATAAGCTCCCCCCCCAACAAAGCCTGTGATGATTACTGAAGTATGGTTCATGCACCAAACATACAAAACAGCCACAAAAATCACACACCTTCAGCACATGTAAACCTTCTCATAGCAGTGCCTGTCCATGTGAGGAGCCTCTATCCACTGAGAATACCTTTCACTCAACATTTATTTATTCCATTTGTATCCCTCCCTCCCCTCCGAGACTGTTGAGAGATAAGAGCACTGCTCCATCAGACCTAAGGTCTGCAGCACATACAGCCATGGGTGTTGGGGGGACAGGTGTCAGCAAGCTGCCAAAGGTTCTTATAGTTCCCATATGCATTCTGGTACCTGAGTTCGGCAATGTACCTATCTCTGTATTTCCCCCCCTCCCTAGACGTCTGCTCATATAACCATGCGCATATATTCATAGTGGTTGCATTCTTGTTAGTCTACGCCAGCCATGCCTGCTGTAACGTTATCATTTCCAAGGTCACAGGTGGTCAAGAGAAGAAGTCTGCTTTGCTTTTGCTTTGGTTATGATGAGTAGAAACTGTGGGAAGCGTTTTGTAGTGATAACACAGTTGCCCTTGCTTTCCTAAGGGTTTTGGGCGCGTAAACTGCTTTTTGGGCGCGAGCGGGAACCATGTCTATTGGCTGTATCAATTATGAATTTGCTTTAACCTTCCCAGCTCAATGAGCTAGCGTTATTCTGAACAGTGATTCTGTTCAGTGACTCATGGCTTCAATAAAGTAATCCCTTTCTGTAAGTGTGTACTCCGTTGAATTGCTGTGGGACCTGACAACAGGGGACATGGCATATTTTGTACCGTATGTACTCTGACCCATACACACTTCCAACTAGTCAGCAAGAGGTTCAGAGCAATTTTCCCCCTCCCCTAGAATTATTTGTTGGATGTCCTTGAATATATCACAAATTCTGTGTGCCTAAAAGTCTTACATACTTTTACATAGGTGTTATCTAGTGGGAAATGAGGTGTGATCTGTAAAAAAAAAAAAAGAGTACAAGGGCTTAGGGAAAAGGCTGCAACTTAGTGGAAGAGCAGATGATTTACCTGCAGATCTCCAGACAACAATTCTCTCAGGTAGCTTGTGTTGAGAGAAAAATTCCTTGGCTTGGGACCCTGGAGAGCCACTGCCAGGTAAAAGACAGGCCAGGGAACCCCAATCTTATTGAACTCATGTGGGGACTTTTAGGATTTTGAGGACAGGAAGTCTGCACCACCACAAAATGGCTCCCACTGGGTTTAGAGCCAATGACAGAATGTTGAGAGGCTGCATGCAAAGCATCCTCCTACAAGGGAAGCAGCTGTTTCTGAATGGGTACTCCCAGCAGACACAATGCTGATGCTTCCTGGGTTCTTTTGAAACATCTCTGGATCCAGTGAGGTGCAGGAGAGGCTCTTTACTTTGTAGAAAAAACAAATGGGTGCCACGAAATCCATCAACAGGTGTCACACGGGAATACTGAGACTAATCAATGTTGTCTTGTCTTATCCATCTAACCTCACGCATATTTATTTATTTAGAAAAGCTATTGGTAACCTCTTCAGAGATCTACCTGAAGTGGCTTGCAAATTACAAGACGTTTTTAAAATGTTAACAAAATTAAAATTAACAGAACTATTAAAAAAAAAAACACCCAGCTATAATATCAAAACAGCAATAAAAACAATTGGCCTAAAATGATCCTTGTAAAACAAAGCATCAGGCTAGCAGCTGACTGCAATTTTTTTTTTTTAAGTATCATAAAATCCTGAGTAAAAAAAAAGTACAGGGGGCACTAAAAGACAGAAGGGTATTGCAGCTCTGAGAAGGAAGAGAAAAATAAGGGCATGCCCTTCCCTATTTCTTGCACATAGTACTCTGAGATATACTGCCTCCGTGGTTTCATTTGACCGTCAGAATTAAAAGGCTAATTTTTTTCCTGGAGAAAAAAGGGCAGTTATCACGAAACTAGATCGCTGCCTGCTTTTCCACAGCTCTCTTTCTAGAGTCTCAGTCTACAACATCAGCACGCGCCTCCAAAACTCCCGTCCTCCTCCACTCGATCCCCGACTGCCCTCAAAGATCCCAAGCCAAGCCTCCTTCGGCGTTCCTAGCCACGCCCCCTGACACAGCCGGTTGTTCGCTGCCTCCCGTCTCGCGGCAACGTGCTGCGGCATGACGTCACACGGTCCGACGTAACCCCTCACATCAGGGCTGCAGCGACAACAACAAGGAAGTGATTGAGCGAGGAGAGTCGCCTTGGTCGCCGCTGCTACTGCTCAAGGCCCCCGTCACCGGAACCCTCCTGTAGACGGGTGAACCGTTCTTTCCCCTTCACACCTTCCCGACGCCGCCATCATGAACGGCAAAGGCAAGAGGCTGCTTTCCATTCCCCTTTCCGCCCCCGTCCTCAATAACCCCACCCAGTCACTTCACCTTTCGCAGGGACCGTGCTCCTTTAAGGCAGGCACCGCAGTCCCGTTACCTGCGGGCCCAGTCCGTAACTGGCTGGAGCCCCGACCAATGGGAGGCTTAGAAAAGTCGGGGTGAAGTGGGTGGGGGAAGGGCGGATGTTAGGTTGTTATGACGCAACCCTCTTGGCTAGGGAGTTAACCCCTTGGCTGCCACGGTAGTGGCCGTTTTTGTTCTTAGAGAGTGGGAGCCCATCTCCCCGTTGCAGAGCTGCACTGGAAAGTGTAGGGGGGGGGGGGACATTCAATCGAGCTACTGTGACACACGGTTCCGTGGGCTACACGCCACCCCAGAATCCCCTGCGATTTGACCCTGGGAATAGAGGGCTAAAGAGGAAGAGGAGTTGAGTTTTTATGTCCAGGTGGGAAGATTGCAGCTGCTGATGCTGCTGTGTACATTAGCCAGCCCCGTGGGCAGTAGGAGACCATGTTAACACAGATAATAGGTGCCTGAAAAGGGGGGGGGGCTTCTTTTAGAACATGGACAAGATCCGTATTAAAGGGAAAGGCAGAGGAACTGTTTTGCTAACTCCTCCAGTCCTTTAAATGCCAGATAACATCCTGTTGCACTAGAAATTAGAAGTCTAGAATAACTGCTATTCTTTCCTGGTGCTATATATTCACATTCACTAATGTTGCATGGAATTGTCTCCATGCAAAAATGTTCATCAGAGATGTAGGAGAACTCACATTTTGTTCAACCCTTTTGTTTGGAGCATCTTGGTACAAGGACCATGAGATATCTGAGGCATGGTGTACACGTGCAGCAAAATGAAGTGGAAATGGGATAGCAGAAGGCTGAGGTGGTAGAATGGACTGTACCACTTCAGACTGCAGTTGAGGGATTATATTTTCAAAGTTTCCCCTCTATTAGTAATTTCCTCTCAGTGGAAAATTAGCACAGCACATAAGCAGTTCTATCCTAGCCTGTCTCCCTGATGAGATTTTTTTTTATTTAAAGGGAGTTTTTACATGGGAGGGGGACATGAACAATGTACCTTTTCCATATGGAGCCTGAAATAGTGCAGCCTGTTCTACCACCTCATTCTGCATCATGCACAGACTAGGTCAGTCCTTATTTCCCACTCCACTTCTGTTTGCTCAAAGGGTGGTTTGGGGTCTGATAGGACCACCAGCAAGTGAGTGGATGATTGGAAATGTCTGATCTCCTGTCTTTAAATGGAAGAGTCGTATGCTAGATAGGACAGTGGATTGAGAGAGGCCAGAAAAGTAACTGGGGAAAAAATAAACCTAATTTTTGAGGAAGGCAAAGAGAGCATGTGCAGAGTAGGCCACATAGTGTATGCTCATCCTTTAATGGGTTAGGAATAAATGGTGGACATGAGGAATGCAGAGGCAAACTACAAGATCTGGGTAGCTCCTGGGTATGTTGGCACCAACCCTGTTTATTACCCTTTGGTGGGTATTGTTCTGAACTCACCCTTGCTTGCTATGTGCGATCTCTATGACTGATATCATGCCAATGATGTAATGTGACTAGGAGGCCAGCACCTGCCTAGAAAGGAAGTAAACACGGTAGCTTCAGAGGATATTTCTTAAATAGTAACAAGGAGAGATCAGAAATTATAACAATAGTATACAGGCAGCCTAATCCTGTGTAAATTGTGTGGGAGTTACTACCAAGTGAATATGTACAGGATTCCAATTTACATGTCACAGATGCAAAGGATTGGAATGGCCTCAGTGGATTATGTCATCCAAGACCGCTCTAAAATGGGATGTCCTTTACATAAACTTTCCCCCTTGCAATCATATTTTTCCAATCTTTTTGTTGGAAGATGCCCAAGCAGGAGATTCCAGAATTGCCCTAGGCAGCTGAATGAATTTCTAGGCTGACTGGCTCTTACATAGATAGGGGGCTTTTCTTCATGCTTAACTTAGATCTGGTCTCTTGTAGTTGGAAGTCTGCATATGCTTAGCTCGCCCAGGTGGTATTTGTAGCAGATTGAATATTCTGTTTTGGCAGCAGTGCTTGAGCAGTCAGATAGTTTTGGAGGTACAAACAGATGGGCAGCCCTACTGGAAAAAGAGGTATTAGTTGGCTGAAGGTGCTGTGTGGGCAAGGAGCCAGGAAAAGGGGCAAAGGAACTGTGCTAAAGAAGATGCTTAGATAGCCAAGCAGTCACAGATTCCTGAATATTTTGTTAAATAAGCAGACTTATAAGCAGATGAAACCAGGTTTGGTATCCAATTTTGAGCATAAATGATCACACAGTCACTGTCTCACTTTTAGTCAACTTCTGAAACATAATTTACAGTCCCCATGAGAGGGCACTATCCTTTTAAAAATGGGACATAATCATTGACTACCTTTGTTATTCAGTCTGGTAGTAGGGTAGTGGAATGGGATTTATACTGTGCCTCTTTAGCTGACTCCTCTGTGGTAGTAGTATCCTGCAGAGCAGCCAGTGCTGTCTCCTGTGGAAGATGGGAAGTGGAAGATGGGAAGTGTCTTCACTGTGGAAGATGGGAAGTGCTTGCCCACTCCAGAACCGCTGGTTACGGGAGGGGTGTTGAAAGACCTGTCAGATTGAGGTGACGAGAGAGGAGGTCCTAAAACTGATAGACAACTTAAAAATTGATAAATCACCAGGCCCAGATGGCATACATCCAAGAGTTCTGAAAGAACTCAAATGTGAACTTGTGGATCTCCTGACTAAAATATGTAATCTTTCCTTAAAATTTGCCTCCATTCCTGAGGACTGGAAGGTAGCAAATGTCACTCCCATCTTTAAAAAGGGTTCCAGGGGAGATCCGGGAAATTACAGGCCAGTTAGTCTGACGTCGATACCGGGTAAATTGGTGGAAACCATTATTAAGGAAAGAATTAGTAGGCACATAGATGAACAAAACCTATTGAGGCAGACTCAGCATGGGTTCTGTAAGGGAAGATCTTGTCTCACTAACCTGTTAATGTTCTTTGAGGGGGTGAACAAACATGTGGACAAGGGGGATCCAATAGATATTGTTTACCTTGACTTCCAGAAAGCTTTTGATAAAGTTCCTCATCAAAGGCTCCTAAGCAAGCTCAAAAATCATGGGATAAAAGGACAAGTCCTTTTATGGATCAAAAACTGGCTAATTAATAGAAAACAGAGAGTGAGTATAAATGGGCAGTTCTCCCAGTGGAGGGGGGTAAGCAGTGGGGTACCACAGGGATCAGTACTTGGTCCACTGCTTTTTAACTTGTTCATTAATGATTTGGAGTTGGGAGTAAGCAGTGAAGTGGCTAAATCTGCGGATGATACGAAGTTGTTCAGGGTGGTGAAAACCAGTGAGGATTGTGAGGCACTCCAAAGGGATCTGTCAATATAATGAGGTCAATGGTGCGACCTCATTTGGAATACTGTGTGCAGTTCTGGTCACCACACCTTAAAAAGGATATTATAGCTTTGAAAAAAGTGCAGAAAAGGGCAACTCGAATGATAAAAGGGTTGGAACACTTTCCCTATGAAGAAAGGTTAATGCGCTTAGGACTCTTTAGCTTGGAGAAACGACGACTGAGGGGAGACATGATTGAGGTTTATAAGATAATGCATGGGATAGAGCAGGTTGAGAAAGAGCAGGTTGAGAAAGCGGTCGGGTTAGAAAGGATAAAAGGAAGTACTTCTTCACCCAAAGAGTGATTAACACATGAAATTCACTGCCACAGGAAGTGGTGGCTGCTACAAGCATGGACGGCTTCAAAAGGGAATTAGATAAGCATATGGAGCAGAGGGCCATCAGTGGCTATTAGATAGGGGCTCTGGGGCAAGTGATGCTCTGTCTTCTTGGTGCTTGGGGGGGTCAACAGTGGGAGGGCTTGTAATGTCCTGGCCCCACTGGTGGATCTCCTGATGGCACCTGGTATTTCTGGCCACTGTGTGACACAGAGTGTTGGACTGGATGGGCCTTTGACCTGATCCAACATTGGCGCCTCTTATGTTCTTATGTTCTGTTAAATGATTTGCTGTCTCAGGACTCTCTGCATTTAGTTATGCAAGCAGAGATCTGTTTTATCATTCTTTTAGAGGTGGGAGGGGTGTCCCTGATCTCACGTACTTCCTGTTCCTTTGCAGCAAAGACTGTTGGGTTAACATTGATTAACTTTTCCTCATAGGTCAATATCCTACACAGCCTACTTATCCAGTCCAGCCTTCTGGTAATCCTTCTGTGTTCCCGCAGACTATACCACTTCCCCAGGCTCCGCCTTACACCGAGGCTCCTCCTGCGTACTCAGAAGTATGTACTTTGCTCTCTTTCTGTTCTCTTCCCCGCCCCTAGAGATAATGCTGCTGATAATAACAATGGTATATGGGTTTCAATGAAATATAACTAGGTCATTACCCCTGCCAGGACATTTTGAACATCCAAAAGCATCTTTTCAAATCTTACCTGTATTGTGTTTCTATTACTACATTTGAGTTGTGACTTCAGCTGCATGCAAATAACGTTTGTGTGCTTGAATGTTTCATCATGATTCCGGGTCCTACATGGCAACATCCTTTTTCCAAAGACTGGATGTTATAAGGTGAGATGGGTGGGGTGATTGCTACAAATCAAGCCAGCTCTGTCTGTGGCAATGTTACAAAGACCCCCTCTTTTCCCCTAGACTAAAGCTTTAAAAATGCTGTAGATGTGGCTCTTGATGGGCCTTTGCAGTCACCCTGCTTGTGGGCCTCCTAAAGGCAGCTGGTTGGCTGTTGTGTTAACAGAATGCCAGGCCCGATGGGCCATTGGTCTGCTCCAGCATGGCTCTTCTTATTTTCTTATGGTATATTTAGTTGGATATAATGTGCTGCTGTGTAATCACCAATTGATCTGGCATCCCCATCTCACATGGATTTTGCTATTGCATGTTTATTTGATGTATTTATACCCCACTTTTCAGCATGATCAACTTCAAAGGCAGTTCACAATTCAAATCTATTGCATTCTTTAAAAATTGAACCTAATTTCTGAGATGCATAGTTCCATTTGTTGTTTGGAAGCTTCACAATGTGCAGCAGCCTCTGTTGGGATCAGGAGAGTTAGGCGTGTCAGTTGATAGAGATGATTTGGGGTTGTGTGTGACACCTGTGATGTTAGTCCTCCACTCTCATTCCCATTTCTTGGTTGCTTGTATCTTCAGTAGCTGGGTCCTAGGCTGAATGATAAGGGCTCCTTTCTGAAACCGCAGCCAATTGAAGATAGCCTTCCTCAAGAGAGGCCTAGTAGCAGAGAAACCTGGGACCATCTAAGCTTCTGTTGTTGGAATGTATAGCATGTGGTGGCCCACCATCTGATGAGATTGGTACACTGTGCTCTCAGTAAATTTTCCCCTGTATAAATCCTTATCAGCTGAGTCCTACACAACATGCTGGCCCCACCACTATATGTCCCCGTACAATCCCTCTCCTTAAGTTTTCCATCCATATGTGGGACCTGCGTAGGGACTGGCATCGAGAAAGGCCTTCTCAGAGGGCACCCAGTCATGTATCATTTCTTTCTATGGATGCTCAACAGAGAGCAGAAATCTGTAAGCCATTTCAAGGCTGGCTACTGGCTGTCTAGGGTTATGCTGGTAGGGAGTTGGGTTTTAGTATGAATGTCTTAATTTTGGATGCCCCTTTTCCCTGGATGGGGTGGGCTACATGTTTGAAAAATACATAAATGAACTGTAGGAGTTGCTATGTGGTGTTGTTAACAATAATCATCAGTATACTTAGCATTATATAGAGTGACATAAGCTAGAAAGGCAGGTCTTCACTATGAAGAGTTTAAAATCTAAATTTTCATAGTGGGGGATGCAATTGAAGGAGGGAAGGAAGTTATAGAAACTATTGGGATTGATAATACAGGTTTACTGCTGGCAGTACCTTATATTCGACAAAACAGTTAACTAACTTCAGTCCTTAAAGTTTGTATCATTGCCTGAAAATCTTGCTGGTCTCTAAGATGCTACTGGACTGTAATCGAACTATTCTACTGCAGAGCAACACGGTTGGCTACCTTCTGAAAATATCATTGCCCACTTACCTCGTATACTGTGTATTAATGCTGGCTATCACAGGGCAATAGAAAATTAATTCTATAGCTCTTTATTAGAGATGGGCATGAACCAAACCACAAAGTGCCCTGTTCACGGTTTGTGAACTGAAGTTTGTGGCAGGTCCGCTGTCATGAACTTCCATGAACTGTTAAAGCAGGTCGTGGATGCAGCAAACCACTGCTTTTTGTTCCCCACCAAAGCCACAAAAACAGCTGACCACACCCAGCTGTTTCGGGCTGTCTTATGCAGTCCCTTTAAAGTTTAAAGGCATCTGATGTGCTGCTGGTGGAAACAGTATGCTGGGCTAGGTGGACTTAGATCTGTCCTAGAAAGGCAGTTTACAGATGCTGAAGTATACAGAATGCATTCCAGGGACAGTAACAGTCAGCTATTTCTAATACAACTGCATCCTTCACTGTAGGCTTTCCATGGGGAGATGGAATGTCTTTGAATATGTGCCTCTGAAATAAGCATTTTGTCCCTGTGCTCTCTCTTCTCCCTCCCCCAGCTCTACCGCCCAAGCTTTGTGCATCCTGGAGCTGCCACGGTACCAACCATGTCTGCTGCATATCCTGGTGCCTCGCTGTACCTCCCGATGGCTCAGTCCGTCGCTATGGGTCCGATGGGCTCTTCAGTTCCAGTGGCTTTTTACCCTGTGGGCCCCGTCTACCCTCCTGGATCCACTGTTCTTGTTGATGGGGGCTTTGATGCCGGAGCAAGGTTTGCAACGGGTGCCCCCGCTAATATTCCTGTAAGTTGGCCTTGTAACATAGCCTCTGCTTATTCTGTTCATTGTCATAGCTTGGGAAAAGGAGGTAGCAAAGTACATCCCACCATCTTAAAGGGGTGTGTGTGAGGAAATGAAAGGCGGGCATACTATTATTGAACTCTTTGTGTATACGAAGGTGTAGCTAACCTCTTACCTTGCAGTGTTTTGTATACATTTAGGAGCTGGATAATTTCTTTTCATGGAGAAAGTTACAAGGATAAACCATTCTGCATGGACAGCTGCAGACTTTTGTTGTGAATGTAAATTGTGGCTCTTGTAGAGCAGCCATGACATTAGACATGTGCTCATCTTTCTGCCTGATTCTCCTGGGCCTTTCTCTCTGAACACAGAAGCTGCCAAAAATGCTTCCTCCCTCAAGCTCAGGTTAAGAGGCTTTTCTTAACGGATGATTTGATTTAGAGGCTACAAGATTTGGGATGGGATCACTTGTGTCTCCAAAATCCATCTTATGTAAAGTGTTATAGAAGAATACTTGGGGGGGGGGGTGTGGAAACTGCAGGTTGGGTCCATCAGAGATGGGGGTGGTGTGTTGCTTTCAGGGTAGACCCTGGCTATTGACTTCTGCCATGCCTTTCAGCCACACCCTTCTGAGTCGCATGCAGAGGAATTGATGCTGTTGTGCTGATTCATGCGATGTCACTGTTTTTTCCCAACTGACTGTCAGTGGACCTGCAAGGGGTGGGCAGGTGCCCTTCCCCACCGTTTGTACTGTTGTAAAGCTCAGCAGCTGTACTTCCTTGCTGTTATATTGGGTACTTGTAGTAGGGGGCGAGCCATAATTCAAGGACGTGGAGCAGGCTTTGCCATGCAGAAGCTTCCCAAGCTGAGTCCCTGACATTTCCACTTTTTTAAAAAAAGGAACAATTTGGGTAGCAGGGCTGGAGAAAAAATATCTGCCCCAAGCTACTGCCTAGTACAGGGGGGAGTCCCGAACATGCTGCCTGCCAAATGTAGAAAGTGGGCGTGGCCACGCGGGTTTTTTTTTTTTTTTAACCCAGCAAAGGCTCTGATTGGCCACTGGAGATTTGATTGGCTGTGCAGATTTTTAAAAAACATAGCTTTGGCAGTAGTTGTCACCACAGCACAAGGCTCTTCAGTGTGTCAGCCCTGCCTCCTGCAGCTGCGCTTGTGTGGCAGCCATTTTGGGGCTGTGCCCACCGTGCCATGTCAGAATTCCAAAGGTGCTCACAGGCTGAAAAAGGGTGGGAACCCCTGGCCTAGTGAGACAAAGCATGAGATAGCTTCCATTGGTGCTGAGTGTGCTTTGCTGTACTTCAGAATTCCCAGCTGTCCAGCAACCACATCCTGTGGCCCACCAAGTGCTTGTTGAAACTTCCTTCAGCAGCCTTGCTCAGCAGCATGTACGGTCTGGGGAACTGCAGACCTTATCAGGCCTTCCTACAAGCCCTGCCATCTATTATTCATCTAACAGGTTCTTCTCACTGTCTTTCAGCCCCCTCCTCCCGGCTGTCCTCCCAACGCGGCTCAGCTGGCTGTCATGCAGGGTGCCAATGTGTTAGTGACGCAAAGGAAGGGCAACTTCTTCATGGGAGGCTCCGACGGCGGCTACACCATCTGGTGAAGGAAAAGGGGGGAGGGCGCTACATTGGTGTAAAGGAACGACATCACATACTGTCAGCACTTCTCACAATGTAACCGCTTTAGTCGTATTAACCTGGAGTTGCAGTTTAGACACATGATGGGGGGTGTCTTCCTGGTGCCCTGACCCTTCAGGCACTTTTTTTCATTTAAAAATGTGTAAAGGAAAAAAAAAAAGCAAAATGCAAAACCATGCAATGGTAGGAGTGCCTCTCTTAAAATCTTGGGAGTTAAAATTGTGAAATGAATGCAAGTGACAGAGCCCCACACATTTCCCTTTGATTCCACTGGAGTGCTTGCGCAGCAGCACTCTCTCTCTCTTTTTGGCTTTTATTAATCAACTACATATAAAACCAGGTTGGGGGTGGGGAGGGGAGTGAAAGCGGAAGCTTGGAAGAGAGCCTGGTTTCCAATTATCAAACATATAAAGCTTGCAGATATATCTGTTGCCAATGAATAGAACTGAGATAAAACACCTCTTCTTTTCTCTTCCATAGAATTAATGGTGCTGGACAGAGAATCTAGACAGACATAATTTTTTTGTGGGTGGGGGGCACATGGCAGATGCCTATGAAAGGAGTGGGGGTGGGCTCAGGTTTTGATTTCTGATCCCCTCCACCAGTTCCTTCTGCTCACCTTTGCTCTCTGTTCCTGTGCTAGGAAGGTGTGCAGCTAGAGCATTGACCCAGGATGTTCTTTTTATACACTCTTAAGTGATCTTGGACTCCTTTGCACATTAAGAATCTAACTGAAGCCATGTTTCAGTGCCAGAAACACATTTCATTAAATGCTTCCTGTACTTTTCAAAAATGAGAGCTTAAAATGACAGTTTTTTTAAGGGAATAAAAAAAAAGCAACCCAGTGTCTTGATAACAACACTCTGTGTGGAATGTTATTCGGGCTAGAGAGACAGGAACGTCTGGATGTCAATCAATGTGCAAGTTAGCTGGATTTGATGGGTGGTTCTTTTTTTTTCTGATGCAAAACTTTTTAAAAAGTGGCTTGGGTACAATAAAGTCTTATTAGAGTTAAGAAGAATATTTCAGGGATCCTCAATCTTTTTGTTGTTGTTGTTGCTTTTTGTTTTTATGAATTAAAAGAAATTATCAGATTTGGTGAATATATTTTATCTTAATTTTCTGTGTGTTGTATGTGTCATGGTTAACCATACAGCTGACTGTTAATGAAAGGTTGGGATTCTAGGTCTCTCTGTAAACACTGTGGTGCACTTAACTTGTGGACTTTTTATACTAAAAACAAGTAGAATAAAGGCTATTTTGAAAAATTTGAATAAAGTGACAAAGTTGAATGTAGCCTCTTAAATTCCTGTCCATTGTAACCTGGTAAATTTTTTATTTGTTTTGCCCTTATAGCTGTTCCTCCTGTTTTATTATGCCTGGACCGTGTGAAATATTTCACATTGTTCCTATGCTGTAGGCACGAGCACATGTATTTGCAAATAAGTACCACTTATTGCATTGAAACTTAGATTCAAGTAAGCATAAACTTGTTCAGATGTCACAAGAAACTGAGCAGAGTTTAGCACAGACACAGCTTTTTTGTTTTGCCCACCTCCTCTTCTGCCTAAAGCTTTTCTGAAAACTTCAAAGTTTGATCAAACTCCAGTTTGCCCTGATAACTAAATGTAGGCACCCCCAGGTAAACTAGAATTTATTTATTTACTTCTCACAAGCTTCAGCTTCATCCTAGTTCAGAATCCCCACTTGTAAGGAGTAAAACTGTAAGACTTCAGTATGTTCAGACCACCTGCATTTGAACATTGTGGCTGACTGGACTGTGATCATACTGACAACCTTCGAGCCCATCACAGTTTGTTGAGACACCTAAATACACCCTATGATTAGTTTCATGATTTCACAGCTGATTGAGAGATAGAAGGAAACACCCTGTAGAACATGAAGTGGCAATTCAAAACGGCATCCTCTTGTCTAATTCTCCGTTGCTTTCCCCCAAATATGTACCAACACATATTCCAAAGACTGATGTTCTTGTTTATTTTTACCTTATTGATCAGATGCTTTTGCATAAAAAGTGATCAAGAAAACTTGATAAAACTCAGTAAACCAACTAGGAATCTGTCAAATCATAAAAATTCTAAACTCTATGGCACTGAAAGCAGTGAGTCAATTCATTGTACACCTCCCTGCCGGTGGCAACCAATGATACAGAGCAAGTGTGATGACATCAGGACACAAGTTACCACGTGTTACAGATGTAAGGGGGAGAACTCAACACAGTAGCTGCTTTGAACATTTCAACACTTCAGGGCAGCTGTCTGTTTTAAGAGGCTATCTGATATGAAAAGTCAGATTTTTTTTTTTTAAAGGAGTGAAACAAGAGTCCAGACAGATCACAGGAACCTCAATGTGTTGCAGAATGGGATCCCCTGCTAAAGGAGGGTCTGGAACCAAAGAGCAAACAAAGGCAAGATTTGATTAGTGGTTCCTTTTTGCCCCTCTTCAGACAGTACAATTCATATGATCTGCACCTAAAACTGTAAAGAGTGGGTGAGTTAAAGAATATTTGAAAGCAAATGCATTATACCGGTATGCTCCCCAAAGAGCCAGCATTGGCTATAGCAGTAAACCTGAATTTGCTGCTGTGTCTTCTATGAAACAGGTGTTAATGAAAATAAAAGTGTGGAAACTACTACAAAAGGATATAGGCTAAAACAGAGGCAACTGCTTGTACTTGGAAATTAGAGATGACTGCAGGATCCTGAATCATAGGGTGTCTGACAAACGAAGTGCCCCTGAGCCTCATCTGTGTTATTTACTAGCAGGTGGGAATTGCTGCAGGACTGAAAGATACTGAGAGCAACTTCTAAACTTAAATAAGCATGTTGGTCAGTTTAACTTTTGCAAGTACATTGCAGGTTGAGGAATGTAAAACTGGCTGGGTGGTGTTTAATTTAAGCTCCTCCCCATGTTTCACTGCCTTTATGTATATCAAAGACATTCTAAGGTAAGGGCTGTCAGTGTGTGGGCTGAGTTCCTACATCAGCAGAAAGCAAAAAAGAAAAGTCAAGGCTCCAATGAGTATTCTCCTACCTCAACCCTACCTCTAAATAAATAAAATTGGGGTTGAACAGCCAGCCTTTGCATTTTAACCCTACTATTCAAGGGTTTCCACAGTGCAGGAAGGGGCTTACCCCTCTACCATCAATTTAACCTTGAGCTCCCTGGGGTACAGCGCTAATATAAAATGAAATAAATAATACAGCTTTAATACCTTGCTAAAAAAAATCAAACAAATGTAGCTGTTTCTCTGTAAAGCTCAGTGTCCAAAACGTGCCAACCACCTGGTATCCTGTTCTCTAGATGAAGTACTCTTCTTTTTCACCTTTACCGGGCAGATCCTCCATCTGGACCGACCCTTCTGGATCTGTATCTCGCTGTTCATAGGTACGGTAGGTGCCTTTGTTCTTGTACATGTATATGATAATCAGCACAATGACCGAAAGGAGAGTGACTAAAACCACGGCAATGACAGCTGTATTAAAAAAAACAGAAAACCCGTTACCATGCTGTGGATGATCACGGTTAGGAATATGCACACTCCTTTCTCTCACACACAAATTCCTTTGACCTCTCTCCTTTTTAGCAGGGTGTAGTATTCTGTCACCCTAATCTAGATACCCCAGTCTCATCGGATCTCAGCTGCTAAACAGAGTCATACTTGGATGGAAGACCACTAAGGAAATCTGCACAGAGAAGGCAATGGCAATCCATCTCTGTTTGTCTCTCACTCTGAAAACCTTACAGGCTTGCCAGCAAGCTTCATGTGAATAAGCGGAGAATCAACTCCGGTTCTCCAGATTACAGTCTGCCCATTGCTCTTAATCACTACACCACACTGGTTCTTGATCCTGAATTTTAAAGCCAGGTTCGAAGCCGGTTTGCCAGCCGGTTTAACAGTCATGTTTTATACCAGTGCAGACGCCAAATTGTAATTAACACTAAGACAGAAAAAGGTACACATGTGCAGCCTCCTCCTGATCTTTTTAAAGCATGGTTAAGAGAGCAAGGGTGTCAGGGTCACCATCTAGCTCTGCATTTTTATGGGCTGTTATCCCTTAGGAGGGGGGACAGGATCTCAGCCTAAATAAGCCTGCCTTTGGAGTGAACCCTTTTGTCTTCTGCTGGAGTCACAGACATAGCAAGCTGCCTTTGCTTTAATGCATGGTGCGATTTCAATGACCTTGCACCATTACTGAATTTACCTGCCCGTATGTGCCAACACAGAATCCTATCTTGTCTTCCATGACCTTTTCAATAATTCCAAGAGCCAAACCAAATATTACAGTTTTCCATGTGTTGGGTTTGGTTCCCATGGCCCAACTTTCAGCTTGGCAGTCACACGTCAGCTGCTTGGAACACATTTCCCAAGCACTCGGGGTTCTGGTTTCAATCAGGGCCCTTTCTGCACTCGTATTTTGCCTCGGTTTCTGAGCGCATTCTATTTTTCCATTCTGCATTCCCTCCCTCTTTCACTTCCAGTTTGTGTCAGGGCTTTTTCTTGTTTCTGCATTTGTTTTACAGGAATCTGCATTCAGGCCGCTTCCAGCACACTGTTGCCCCGCAGTTACCAAAACTCCTTTTGCTGTGATTCTTTGTTTTCATCCCCTTTCAAATTGCTAATCCTTTCTAAAGCAGAATTGTTTCTGGAGGTATTCAAGTGCTGCCCACTGCCCTCCCCCATTTCTGCATCTCTCTTTAGACTGACGCTCCCTCCTTGTTCTGTTTTCTTTCCCTCCTCCAAAACAAAAGATGACGTGTCCTCCTGTTCAGGCACATTTAAAAAAAGCTAGAGAGAGCATACGAAGGAATCAGTAAATATAAAAGGCTACGGGATTCCCTGCTCCCAAATGTGTCAGTCTTCAATGTGTGAAGTTGGATTTCCCCCTCCCTTCCCCTTATTTTTGCAGAATCATGAGGGAGGAGGGGAAGGGTTGGGTCTGCAGTTAAAAGTTTTGAGAGATGTTTGCCTTTCTCTTCATCTTAGACAAAGCAGCCAGTTAGCTCAAATAATGTGGGTTTTGCTTGTAGATGCAGAATGTATACAGAATACACAAATAAATTAACCGGGGGGGGGGGACCAGTGAACAGGGAATGTGTGCGACTGCAAAGTCAACCATTAAGGCTTGACTTCTCAGATTCTCCAGAGGAAACTGTAAGTGCAGACAAGGCCCAGGACCATGGCACGGGTGGAAAAGGGGCTTATGGCCCCAAAACAGCTCTGGGAGTGCTATTTGCCCCACTGGAGGGCTGCAGTACACTTCAGAGTGCTGTCAGGAGGATAAATTTAAGAACATAAGAGAAGCCAATGTTGGATCAGGCCAATGGCCCATCCTGTCCAACACTCTGTCACACAGTGGCCAAAAATACCAGGTGCCATCAGGAGATCATCAGTGGGGCCAGGACACTAGAAGCCCTCCCACTGTTGCCCCCCCCCCAAGCACCAAGAATACAGAGCATCACCTGCCCCAGCCTGTGAGTTCCTATCTACACTTTGCGGCTAATGGCCACTGATGGACCTCTGCTCCAATCTACATATATATTATCTAAACTCTGAGCACTCTAGGGTTATAAATGTGAAAATCTTTACTGCTCCTGTGGTGGCCCTGTGGCTGGATGGGGGAGAGGACTCTCTAAGCCTGCAGTGGGATTGGCAACCATACCTCCGATGACGGTCACATTGACATCCTGCTCCAGAGTCGGTGTATTCATCTTCTTCATAAGCGTGCTGGTCAGTAGGTCTTCTGCATGGATGACAGAAGGGGGGGGTGTCACAGGCAACTGCAACACTTTGCAGAAAATGGCACCCTGCACCACGTCCTGCTCTTGCAACCTTTGAACATATTAAGCTGCCTTATGTGAAATCAGCCCATTGACCTATACAACTCACTACACTCTGGGGTTTTCCACACTGGGACAGGCTTATGTCGTTTTCCTGTTGCTGGTGGGCCTGCCAATACCGTGCAGCAGCAAGGTGGCTTCCACACAGCAGGTTTCCTGACGAACGTCCCGACCGAAGACTGCCTGGGAAGGAAATGAAGCCGAGTCGGAGAAACAACAGCCCACCACCTGGGTGCCAGTAGGCAGCCCCGTCCCTGTTCAATGTGGCCCTAGTTAGGGAGAAAGGCGTTCTTAGACCCTCCATAATAATAATATATCTGCCCTAGTCAGTCCTCCAGCAACAGCTGTCTCCCTCTCCCCTGGGCTACTGGGCCTTTTTCCATTTTTTAAAAAATGACAATTGAATATCACTAGATCTATAGGCCATCATTAACAATATGCGCTACAGGTTCTCTGAATTCCTTCCTTCCTTCCTCTCACAGCTACCATCGCAGAGATACGCCTTTCCCCAACTCAAACAGCGAGATACTATTTTTTAAAATAAAAGCTGGCAATTCAGAGAACCTTTTAGACATATTGCAAATTTAAAACAAAAACAAAAATGGCCCCATGGGGCAGGGGAAGGAAATGGCTGCTGATGCAGGGTTACCATCTTCCAGGTGGTGGCTGGAGATCGCCCAGAATTACAGCTGGTCTCCAGGCTGAAGCGATCAGCTCCCCTGCAGAAAATGGCTGCTTTGGAAAGTGGACTCTATGGCATTAGTACAGAGGGTTGTCAACATTCAGGTAGTAGCTGGAGATCTCCTGGGATTACAAGTGATCTCCAGGTGACAGGGATCAGTTCACCTGGATAAAATAGTCGCTTTGGAAGTTGGACTCTTGTAGGCGTGTCAAACATAAGGCCCAGGGGCCGAAACTGGCCCGTCTAGGACTTTTATGTGGCCCGCAAGCAACTAGTACAAGGGAGGGAACAGGAGACTGCTCGGGGGGGATGGGCAGAGCCACTCCAATTGTGGTGTTAGCACAGAGGAACAACCTCGTCTGCACCAATCAAGCAATGTGGGAACATCTGCCCAGTGCTGCACTGCTGGCTCTCCAGTCCACCTGTACGGGTTTTTCTTTACACCCCCCCTCCCAGCCCATGGAGCCTTGCAGTGAGGATACAACAATTTGCAGCTTACCAGCCACTGTCCTTTATACAGTTTATATCCCTGGTACCTGGCATTAATGTTTTATGGCACACATGGCCCGGCCCGATAAAGTAACATTTATGTCAGATTCGGCCGTCGTAACAAATGAGTTTGACACCTCTGCTCTATGGCATTCTATTGTATTAAAGAACCTCCCCTCCCCAAACTCTGCCCTCCTCAGCACCCCTCCCAAATCTCCAGGTATTTCCTAGCCTGGATCTGGCAACCCTAGCATTACACCCTGCTGAGGCCCCTCTCCTCCCCAAACCATGTCCTCCCTGGGCTCCACACCCTAAATCTTCAGCCGTTTCCTAACCCAGAGCTGGCAACCCTATGCTTTGGGGACAGCGACGTGGAAAATGGCTGCAGGCAAGGGTGTAGACTTTCCAATTTCCCGGGGGGGGCTGGGGCTCGACCAGAGGCATTGCTTTGCTAGGAGCAAGGGTGGCTCCCGGGGGAGGCTGAGTACCTTCCTGAAAATTTCGGCGGGGGCTCCCGCCCCGCCGCCCCCACGAAGATTACGCCTATGGCTGCAGGCAGGAGAAACAGGAGCTTTCCCACCCATACAGCAGCAATTCTGGCTTTACCGCACGTGAAAGCTCATATCTTGAATAAAACTTTGTTGGTCTTAAAAGTGCCACTGGACTCTAAATTTCTTCATGTGGAAATGGCCTCTGATAGCACGTCTCCACGATCTCAGGCTGTGAAAAAGCTTTGCCTAGCAGCTACTGAAATTACGATGCCACTCGTAGGGGTGCCAGGACTTCTGGTACATCAAGAACGGGCTCACCGCTGTACCATGCCCCTCCCCCCCCTTTGAAGAATTGTACGCCACACCTTTGTAAGGAGGTGAGCCACACCAAGTGAAGCCATGGAGACTTTTAATTAGCACGGTAAATCTGCACCAATTACTGCACAGAGCAGAAATGCCCAGCTCTGGGTAGGCAGCCACCTTCATTAAAATAATTCTGGCAAGAGAGTGTGTTGAAACAACCAGCGCTTGAGGCCAAAACACTAGCGGAGGCAAAAGAACGGCTGAAGACAACAGAAGATTGGCTCCATTAACATCTTTGACGTTTGGCTCACACATTAAATGGGAGAACACGTCTAACGTTTCCTAACATTTTCAAGGCTGTTTCCTAGTGTTTTCAAGGCTCGGATAACCGGGATCCCTCAGTTAATCTCTCATTATGCACAGCACTGGAGCTGCCAGCAGAAACAAATGTTCTGTCAGGAACTCATTTCTAAGGAGTTCCCAAACTTGCCACTCTTTAGACAATATCTTTTGGGGTCCAAACTCTTCATAAAAATGTGTGACATCAAGGAAATTATGCACCTAAGAGTCTGTACCCTGGACTGATGCTTGGCCCTTGTCTTCAAGCCTCCTTCCTGAGACTTGGTCACTGACCCAATCCAACCCTTCCTTTGTTATTGCTTAAGAGCCTTAGAGTGCTGCACAATCTCCTTGGGAGATCAGTAGGCATTAATTTATACCTGCTGACCCTGTTCTAAAAAAATTGAGTAAAAAATAACAGCAAGCAAGCTGACAGCCAGTGAACTGCAATGAGGTCTGAATGAGCTTCTGGCAGACAGTCACTCTGAACCGCCTACCTTGCAGGGCTGTTGTGAGCGCAAATATGTTTTAATTTGTAAATCTGCATTGATTGCAAATATATATATATATATGTTGGTACCCACCCTGAGCCTACAATGTGGGGAGGGTGGGATATCAGTCTAATGAAATAAATAAATAAAGCACAGAGGGGGAAGAACCATTTACTTGAGCCAGAGCTCCTTGCAGGAAGGTATGATCACATGTAATAGCTAGAAGGGTTGTCTTCTCTCACACCACCCTGCTCAACAGTTAACGTCTGCCTCCCAAGCCTTGCTCTTTATGTCATTGCCTGCAGGTATGAGGTGGATGGTGACTAAACGCACGGCATTTTCAGTGGTGGCACCTCATCTTTGGAAAGCCCTTCCCCTTGAGGCTCCCTCAGCATCTGCCTTACTCTCTTTTAGGTGCCCCACCAAACTATTGCCTATTACCCAGGCTCTTAACAAAGTGTTTTTATATTTTTAGCTGTTTGTTGCTTCTAGTATGTGGAATTTTTGTATGAATATTTTTATGCAGCTCAGCGGCTATTTTATGCCCATGGCCGTGACTATGATTAATATTGGTAATTTATGTAGTTGTTTTTATGGAGAAACAACATATACCTTCTCTAAATAAATAAAGTAGCTTTAGCAAATATTTTTGTGGGTACTCCAGAATATGAAATTCAGTCTCCTTAAGGTAAGGTGCCTCACTGGTCTCCAACTCTCTTTACTTCCTTTATCTCCTGGATCTCTTTTCCTAATCAATTTTCTAGATTATGTAGCATCCCCTACCTGTACCCCCCACCCACAAGCTTGTGGTCAGCTAAACACAGCTTTTCATGTTCCTAGGCTGAGGTTAATCTCCCAGTACTTAGAAGCTTCTTTCGTAACAGAATTGTTCCTAACAGAACCTGAACTCTTTGCCAACATTCTATGGCTCAGAGTTTTCTCTAGACCTGTCAGAATAATTGTGAACATTCTGAAGCATCTCAAAAGCTCAGCCAATAGCTGGGGGGGGGGGGGGGGGAGAGATCAGGCAATCACTAATTTGTAGCTTCGCATAAGGCACCTGGTTTCTGTCACTGAAAGGCTCACAGTTTTTAGCAGCGTATGGTCACAAAAGAACAAATTATTGCAAATATAAAGACAGCAGACTGCTTAACTGTGTGCCTCTAACAAGGGTGGACTGGCCATTTAACTTACAAGCAGGGGTCATTTCCTGCAGGAGCGCACAGGAGCGGAGCTCTGGCAATAAAGAGCCCAGGGGGCGGGCACATGCAACGAGCCCCACCCCCTGCTCCCAGCAGCCCTGGGCCATGAGGAGCAAGAAGCAGCCAGGTAAGTTGCAGTGGGTGTTGCCTTCTGACACACTTCCGGTGATGTCAGGGGGTGTGGCATATGCAAATAAGTTATCTTAATGAGTTATGCTAATGAGCTCCTGCACCGCTTTTCCTACGAAATGACCCCTGCTTACAAGGAAAGTTCCTAGTGGGTCACTGCGCTAGAGGGATGCCGGCACCAGAGGCAAACAGAGCCAAGACTCAGTAGCTCCACTCAGAACTGCAGGGGCCTCTCAGCCTGGTCTGCTACAAGGCCATTTGCCTTCCCAGTTGGGTTTGCCAGCTTCCATGGAATAGCTAGAGATCTCCTGGGATTATAGCTGATCTCAAAGTGACAAGAGATCTGCTCACCTGGAGAAAAAGGCTGCTTTGGAAGGTGGACTCTATGGCATTATGTCCCACTGAAGCCCCTCCCCTCCCCAAACCCCGCCCTCCTCAGGCTCCACCCCCCCAAATCTCCAGTTGTTTCCCAAACCAGAGCTAGCAACCCTATTCCCAGTCTATGCCTCGTCTCTAATCACAAATTCCCCAACATTTCCTAGTGGTAAATGATAATACAGTGAAGGCTGGCAACTGGCAGGGTTTGCGTGGGGGACAGGACATGGTGGGGAGAAAGAGAACAGGGCATGGATATGCTGCAACGCAGAGCTTGTACAAAGAAAACAACAGTTTCACTCACGCCCCTATCATGGAGGGAAGCTGCCTTCCCAGGGTCTTTCTGTCTACCCTTCCTCCCTCCCCTGGGTTGGTTTGCTGGTGGAGAGGGGCAGCCCTCACGGGAAGGAGGGCTCCAAAAGGGCATGCTCAGTCTCTGCAGCCCTTTTTTTGAGGGAATTCTCCTCAGCCATCACTGGGAATGGAAGGAAGATATCTTTATGGGCCACTGAAGTGGATCTGGGTTTGAGGATTAGGTACAGAGGAGACTAAACCCAGTCCACTAGTCTGTCCAATGATCAATTTGTTGTGGGTTGCAGCTTCCCGGTTAGATAATATTCCCCAGTCACCCTCACCCCCACCCCTATTCCAGTAGCTTTGGGCACACTTACCTGAGTGCGGTGGAGGGGTTAGGAGGACAGCTGCCATGGCATCACCTTTTCCCTCTGGGTTATCAGTTTCTCACTTTGAAAACTTCGAAATCTCTCAAAGCTGGATAAGGGGAAAATGACAGACATTTCCTTTTACAGCCATTCACAGGGGTCAGCCACTTCTCTCATTACTGTTCTCTGTTCATGTATGAAACCACCAACATTTCTTGTAGATATCAAAACGAAAGTAAAATCTCAAACAAGAACGTACTAGGAGGTTGCTTTCCTGTACACAAAGGACCTCAGTGGCATTTCTTTCTGAGAAAACTTGCACAAAATTCAGGCTACACTGTCTTCAGGCAAGCCATGAGGGGCCGCATGCAAAGTGGCATTTCTAATTCCGCTCATGTGGGTGGACTAGGAGCCTTGGCTTTTGGCATTCGTGCTTTCTAGCTGTAGAATTACTTGAGTGCCCTCATGGTGGTAGTACCTGTGATCCTGTAGATACAAGGATCCCAATCAGGGTTCAACTTCCTCAGTGCTAAAATTCCCTTCCCTCAGCAGTTCACCTGGTACCTAGACTTTTAAGCTTTAACTGTCAGAAGAAACCATTTTCATTTGCCCTGACATTTGTGTCTCTCTGGGTTTAAACAATTTCACTGATTGCTGCTGCTAAGGTGCTTTGACTGCTGCCTGATTGTTGCTGAGTTGTCTTGGTCTCATTGACTGATTGCCAGCTGAATTATTTTAACAGTGTTATTTATGCTGTTGTGTCTTTCAACATTGATTTTACTGATAATGTATTTTCTGATTCTATTGGTTTTAATGCACTAGATTTTATGTATTTGTTTCCTTGTAAGTAATTGCTTTTGAGCTTTTTCTTTTTTGGTTGTTGCTAGAGAAATAGCCAACAAATCCCTTAAACAAATAAATGAAGTTTACTGTACTGGTTAGAGTGCCTGGTCTGACTACCCACTCAGCTATGAAGTTTACTGGGGGGCTGCGTGGTGGTCCATTCTCTCTCCGCCTAACCTACCTCCCAGGGCGATTGTTGAGAGAATAAAATGGAGTTGAGAATGATGCTACAAGTTGCTTTTGGGACCCCACTGGGAAGAACAGCCGGGTATAAATATCTAAATAAATACAACAAATATTGGTAAGCTGACAACACAATTAAGTCAATGCTTGAAAACAGAAACAAGCGGAAGGTGGCAAGTGCAGCGTCTAAGGAGGGGGATGCACTACTGATAATTATAGGGAGAAAAGGTAGAAATGTTTTTGATAAATCATTGCCAAATCATGTCATTGCCCAAACTACTGAGAACAGGAGTTAAGCAGGCCCTCCCAAAAGCCTAGGAGGCCAGTATTCCCTAGTAAGTGGTTTTTACTTCGTTTTTGTTGTTGCTGTTGCTGTCTTTTTCATGCTATCAGGCTTGATTTTGTTTGAATTGATCATATTTTATTGTGATTTTATGTTTTGCCATTCTACCCAGCCTGAGGGGCAGCATACAGATTCTTAAAACAAATAAATAAAATACATAATTCAAGCACTGATAAGACGACAGCCAGAGAGAGGGAATTCCACTGCAGAGACGAACGGCAGGAGCCTGTCCAGAGGCAGAGGCCAAAAGAGGAGGTTATAGTGTGAGAGAGGAGGCAAGCGGCGGACGAGTCAGAGACATAATATCAGAGTGAATGCTGAAACCCAAAGAGAATGCTGATGAACACTGCCAGAGAAGGCAGCAAGCTGAGTCTGTATCAAGGCCCAAACTTAAACATGAAAGAAAGATGGTGAGACGGAGGCATGACATAAACTGGTGATTCCCAGCATGGTACCCATTGATACGCTTCCTGCTGTCTGCTTGCTTTTTGAATTGTGGGGACAAGAGAGAAAGAATCAGGTATAGAACAGAAAAAAACGAATCAGGGACTGATGGGTCCATCTCTGACAGGGGACACTAAGCAAACCTCTGGGGTTGTTATTGCACAGGCACATGCCCTCAGCTTGATAACAGATATGAACTTTCTCATGGCTCTGGACGCAAAAACCTTTCAATGCGGGTCAATCCCTCCCCCAATGCAAAACTCAGCTTTTCTCTACAACTGTAGAGCAGGAGGGGGAGCAGGGGAGGCATGGCCTTTGTGCCTGTCCATTCAGAAGCAGCTGTCTCCACCATAGGAAGGTGCCTGGCTTGGAACCTCCCAACATTTTGTGACTGACCCTGCCTCACGGCAGCCATCTTGTGGTGGCATCCGTTACTCTTTCTCCAAATTCCAAAACTGCCTGCAGACTCAACAAAGGGAGAGTGCCCCTGATGTACCAAGCCACATAAAATGCAAAGGGAAACAGAGGTCTGGACTTTTTTAAAAAAAAAAAAAAGCAGGGGGAATGGGTAGCAGTGACGTCTGCAACAGTTTGGCAAGAATCAGGGTCGTGTTTCCAGTGCAGCCTTCAAGAGGAGAGGTGTGAGAAAAGCAATCGTCCCTGAAGGAGAAGAAAATAACAGTGGCTGTCTCTGGGCCACATGAATGTAACAACAGACCAACAACCCTTTTCAAACTGCAAGGCCCACCTGCTGAGGATGGGGAGAAGGAGAATTGATATTGCAAAAGGGGTGGGTTTAACCCTTTTCCAGCCCACCAGCAAGCCCACTTCTCCCTTTCAGGTAGATTCGCTCCCTGCAGAGCTACAAATACCTGCTTTCCAGTCTTCCAAGAAGCCAGTTTCAGCAAGGGCAAGAAGCTGGAGGGTGCAAGAGCGAAACAAAATTCCGCTTTCTAGGCTATGGGAATGGCAGAGGCGGCAAATGACTGAGGAAGGGGTTTAAGAGTGGCCAAGGGTGGACGGCTGTGAGGGTGTTATCCACAACCTGTAGCCGGCCTGCTGTGAATGAAGCAGGCCCCAGAGAGCACAGGGCCTGAGAAGATAGAGACTAGGCCAAGGACACACCAAGGGCTGCCTGTTTCAGCAGGTAGGCCTCTGCAGTGGCTGCTTGCTGGCTTGGGGTGGGGGAGAGAAGAAAGTATTGATGGAGCAACAGGGACAACACTTGACAGCTTCTTCTCACCTCCTTCCTTCCGCCTTCCCTGCAGGGCCGAAACCAGGCTCCACCCAAGGCAAGTGGCCTTTCCCCGCAATCCGCTGGGGGAGTCTCTGCCTGCCTGGTTGGAAGCCACACCCCTAAGCGAGGCCTAAGAGAGAGATGGGAAGATGGCCTGGAGTTTTCAGGTTTGGATAAATGGATCTTTTTACCTGGTCGTGATTTTTTATGGGCTGTGTAGATTTCGGCAGTCGGTGTCCATTTTTTAAATAAGTTCTGTTATATTTTAAATCAGAAACAAGGAAATGCTACAGGAATGACAAATCCCTGATGGTTAAGGGTATCAGATGTGCTTTTTTTGGTGCCTGTCTTCTTTTGGGCTTTTTGTAAAACTGATGAAAAAGTCCTCTTTTGGGGTTGGAAGGTTAGGAATATTTGGGGTTGCCAGGGCCTACCTGGCATAGGCTGTAAATTCCCGCCCGGGAGGCCCGTTACCCACCGCTGGCGGATCGGGCCCCGGGGGGAACTCCACCCCCTGCCAGAGGGCGTCCCCAGCGTGATGATGTCACCCAGAGGTTGTGGGGGGGACACCCCCACTGGTGGACCTCCTGATGGCACCTGGTATTTCTGGCCACTGTGTGATACAGAGTGTTGGACTGGATGGGCCTTTGGCCTGATCCAACATTGGCATCTCTTATGTTCTTATGTTATTATGATGAAAAAGTCCCTTTTTGGGGTTGGAAGGTTAGGAATATTCGGGGTTGCCAGGGCCTACCTGGCATCCTGTGGGGGGTTCTCCAGTCCTTCCCGGGAGCTTCTGCTGTGCGTGCTTTGTGCACACAGCGTGATGACAAATCAGGGGTGATGCTCTAGTTTTTGGGCAAAACTCTATGGTTTTTTGCCTTCAAAACAGTAGTTCGCTCAAGAACCAGAGCATTGCCATGTGCCATCCCCGCCTCGATGGCATCACCCGGAAGTGATGTCATTATGTTGGGGACATCACATGATGACATCCCTGTTTGGGGCTGGGGTTTCCCTTGCTGGCCAATTGGCCAGCGGCAGATCAAAGCCGCAAAAAGTGGGGGAACCCCCGCTGGGACCTGGGGGCTGGCAACCCTACCTGGAAATCAGTTTTAATCCCAGGATATCTCCAGCCACTACCTGGAGGTTGGCAACTTCTTTTGCTCTGCATTTGCTTAAAGAGGCAGCACCTAACCATTCAAACAAGTAGGGTTGGAAAATACCTGGAGATTTGGGGGGGTGGATCTTGCGGAGGGTGAGGTTTGGGGAGGGATCTCAGCAGGGTATAATGCCATAGAGTCCCCTCTCCAAAACAGCCATTTTCTCCTGGGGAACTGATCTTGGTTGTCTGGAGATAAATGGTAATATCAGGAGAGTGCCAGGTGCCACCTGGAGGTTGCAACCTTAAAAATAAGCAAAACAGCAGGGAGACATTCCTGTGATTTTATTATGGCCACAACATGCCCCTTGATATCTTACTCATTTTTACTACTGATATGAACATAAAAATAGAGCAGCCAATGTTGGATCAGGCCAATGGCCCATCTAGTCCAACACTCTGTCACACAGTGGCCAAAAATACCAGGTGCCATCAGGAGGTCCATTAGTGGGGCCAAGACACTAGAAGCCCTCCCACTGTTGCCCCCCCCAAGCACCAAGAAGACAGAGCATCACTTTGCCCCAGCCTGAGAGTTCTTATCTATACCTTGTGGCTAATAGCCACAGATGGACCTCTGCTCCATGTTTATCCATTTCCCTCTTGAAGCTGTCCATGCTTGTAGCCACCACCACCTCCTGTGGCAGTGAATTCCATGTGTTAATCACTCTTTGAGTGAAGAAGTACTTCCTTTTATCCATTCTAACCTGACTGCTCAGCAATTTAATTGAGTGCCCATGAGTTCTTGTATTGTGAGAAAGGGAGAAAAGTACTTTCTCTTCCTGTTCTATCCCATGCATAATCTTGTAAATCTCTTTCATGTCACCCCACAGTCGTCATTTCTCGAAGCTAAAGAACCCCAAACGCTTTAACTTTTCTTCACAGGGAAAGTGCTCCAACCCT